AAAGGAATATAATAAACTCCCCGACACTTCCAATAGAAAACCCCGAATTGCTTTGAGATTAAAAAATTTAGAAGGTTGTATTAAGGCTTATGAACCCGAATATATTGCTCTCCCAACCCCCGAGGAGTTTTTAGCCAGAATTAGGGGAGAAGTAGAAGGCTACACCCGAGTAATTGGCTACGAAAACATTATTGAAATAGTGGCTAAATATCTAAAATCCTATCATTTTGCTAAAAAATATGGCACTCCTCCTCCTGCCCAGTTAATGATAATGTTATTGGGAGAACCAGGACTGGGAAAAACTTATATTAGCCAAGCCCTAGCCAAAGCCCTCGGACGAGGATTTCATATGATCGGAATGAACGGAAAATTAAATGCCTCTCTGATTACAGGGACTAATATTGAAAATCCTGGGGCCGAGCCAGGAGAAATATTGAAGGCTATTAGCAGACGAGAGGACCGAGGTTGTGTCATAGTTTTTGACGAAATTGAAAAAGCAGCCCGAGAATGTAAAGAAGCAGCAGGAATTCCCACTGACATTACTACCAATAAAAATTACCAAGATACTTTTTTGGATTTTCCTACTCCGACTAATGAATGTATTTTTATTGCCACTGTCAATCGACCCCAAGATGTTCCTGGTTTTGTAGCCGATAGATTTGCTATCCGAGTAGAAGTTTTGCCATTATCCTACGAGCAAAGATTAGAAGTAGTAAGAGTAGTATTACAATCAGAATTAAAAAAGTTAGAACCAGCCTTTGAAAAGATTTATCAGAAAAAGTGGGAGGAAATTTACTCCTTATTCGACCAAGAGGAATTATTGAAAAAAACTTTGACTTGGACTTTTAGTATTCGAGGAGCCAAGAATAATGTGTTGTTGAAATTAATTCCTACTTTGACTAGTGATTTTTTGGAGCCTGAATGGGAATTGCCGAATGAATATGATATCGTTAATTATGAATGAAATTTCTTACAAAGAGAAGGAAAAGATGAAAATTGCCCTTATGCCAAAGATATCAGGAATAATCATAGAGTAAATTGTATGTGTTTTACTCAAAATCTTAATATGGCCCCAGGCTGGGAGGAAAATATGGGAGATACTTATCAGGAATAAAAGAATATGAGCCAATTAATAACCAACCAAATCCAAGAAACGGATATCAATACGAGAAAAGAATTGTGGGATAGTCTATTTTTGTTTATCAATTTTCAAGGCTTAAAAAGTGAATATCCGAACATGTGAAATAAAGATTATAAATTGTTGCCTCTGCCTGGCTCTTATCAAAAAACTCGGGAGAAATTAACAAAATATTGCCAAGAATTAAACCAAAAATTAGAGCAATTAATCAATTCTTTTAATAATTATTTTCAGCAAAATATTTATCCTTTATTGAATAATTTAGGAGGAGATAAAACCCTGGCCTTTCGTTGTGATAGACTTTTAAAGAACAAAATCATCGGAGAAAGCAGCAGTCTTTTTAATGATTTATTAATTTGTGAATTAGAATATCGGCAAATGCTAAAATTTAAGGATTTATTGGGAGAATTAGCCGACAATTTAAACAATCAGACCACTTTGGATAATCAGCAGCAAGAAAATATTTTAGCCGACATTAAAAAATTGAGAGAGGGAAAAATTAATCAGGCTATTTGTCAAAGATTTATTTTTAAATGAAGCAAGTTAAAAGCAAAAACAAATCACCAAGAATTATGACAAAAATTAGCCGACTATTTAAAAGAATGAGAACAAGGAAAAGGTGCTAAAAGTGAATGAAAAAAACAATTAGATATTTTTAAAGAACAAATTGAGAACCTTTTCTTATTGGGCTCTGAAAATATTACTGACGGCAAACCTTTCTTTCAATTGGGAGCCATTAAGGAGGATAGCGAGAGAGGATTGGCGGTTGCTACTCAAAATAGAAAAGGATTTAGTTTGAATAATCCTTATTTAGGAGTAGTAAATTTTCATCAGAAATATTTTCGATTTTATCGGGTAAAGGGTTATAGTCATATTAATCCCAGAAATTTATATGTGGAATTATTTTTGAGGGAGGATTGAGTGTGGAAGGATTATCCGTCTATTATTCATAGTTTAGGGGGTTTGAGTAGTAATAATCATCCGGTTTATCACCAAAGGAATTTGGGGTAAAAAATAAATGTAGATATACAAAGTGGATATAAAAACTATATATTATGCCAGGACTACAACAAATTACTAACCGAGAATTAATTAGAGAATTGGAAACCCGAGTAAAAAACCAGCAAATAAAAGGTGAGGAGATGTTTTGGCTATTAGAAATAAGAAAAAAGCAAAGATTAGCCGAATACGAAGCAGCAACTAACGACCCCGAGGAAAATGAGGAATTAGAGGACTGAAAAATAGTAGAAAGTGAAAATTGAGATGCTTAAAAAAGAATCCGAACCCCAAAATATTAAAAGAGGAGAAGTGTATTGGGTCAGACTAGATCCAGCCGAGGGAGCCGAAATCAAAAAAACCCGTCCAGTTGTAGTAGTCTCTAACAACGAACAAAATGCCAAAAGTAAAGTAGTAATTGTGGCTCCGATTTCCAAAAAGGTTAGTCGTATTTATCCAACTTTTCAAGTGCCAATTTATTTAAAAGGAGAATTAAGAAAAGTTAAATGTGAACAAATTAGAGCCGTAGGAAAACACCGAATAATTGGAAAAAAGATTGCCAACTTAACTGATACAGAAATGGAAAAAGTAAATCAGATAATTAAGGAAGTTTTGAGTTTGGATTAATTTTCGAGAGATAATAAACCAAAAATGCCTCTAACTGGTGAATACTAATTCTTTTATTTTTATACATTCAACCTTTACCTCTTCCTTTTTTATATTCTAATCCTGCTAT